TCGTATAACCATCAACAATAAACTGTTGGAGAAGTCTTCTTGCATTAAGAATCAATGAGAAAATATTTACCCTATCTTGAAGTCTGAAGGTGAAGAACTCTCTCATTGTTACGGTCCTTTTGCTTGAAGATGTTATACCTCTATGAGGAATGTCAACTCTGTAACCATCTTCTCCATATGGAAACAAAAGTGGATACTAAAGAGGAAGGTAAGAAGGATTTAATTCACTTATCTCTATAGATAACCCGTTTGATATTTTACAATAATATCAATCTTTCCAATTGTACCACCAATATCTCTAACAATTAAAGCTGCAACCTCCGAAGCAATTGGTAGGTTGTATTTTCTTCCATCCTTTTGTCGTCTTCCGATAAGGCATAACTTTAGCTCCACATTAGGATTGGATTGAAAACAATCTCTTGCCATCCTATAAGACTTAGCAAAAACATTTTGGAAATCTAGCATGTTCTTCAAATATTGTATAATTTCAACATCAAGGGAATCAAAAATTGATGTAGACCCTTCTTTTTTGTTAACTAATTACATGATAAAAAAATAAAAATAAATAAACATTAATATAACTATATTAGGGAATTAAAATAAATCTATTAAGAAGTATAAGGGTGAATATATATCGAAAAGAACTATGTCTATTTGAAACTTCATGTTCAGTATCGTATATGTATGGTTGAGAGAATTTTGATTTCGATTCATTTGGTGGTAGAAGACTGCTCATTCTATGGTAATTTTGACCGCTAAGAGGGTATATGTATGGAGCATTACCTATATCAATGGATAAATCAACTTTCACACTCATTGATTATGAAAACATTGCATTATAACGACGAATGTTCTTCATGAAGTATTTGTTTTTAGAATCTACGTAACAAAAAGGATTTGCTTAAGTTGTAGACATTTCTTTTTCTTTGGGAAGCTCAACCTTGCCGTAAAGACAACAAAGTGAATAACTTGTTTTCATCCCACATCTTCTTCCCTTGAGAGCTTCGTCTCTCCATAATTGTGCATGCCATAATTCACAGATAACTGTTTGATCACCATGATCCAAGTACTATGTTTAATAATATGTTGGTGAAATATTATAATAAATTCAATAACAATAATAATTTTTAAATGTGAAATAATTGATTAATAAAAAGTCACCTTGAGATATCCCTGCAAATTATGTCTCTATGTTGTTATTCATCACGTTGTTATTCATCATTTAATTCTTCATCTGATGTCAAGTCAATTGTGGGTATATTAGATACATTTACAATCTTTCTTCTTAATCTATGTTGTCCTGATGATAACTTCATAATAGAAGAAGTTTTTTCAATTTTCGATGAATTGATTGATGCGATGCCATTAGAAGATAAAGAATAGCGTCTCTTATTTGATTACGGTGTTGTACTGTTATTATTTAAAAAAGATTCCTGTTTCAAATATAAAAACGTTAGTAAGGTATACATATATTGTAATATATGTTAAAATACAAATTTTAAGGTAATCAATATATTAACAATAAGATGTTAAACAAAGTATACATATCATTGAAAATAATTGAAAAAGGACTTCTGATAGTTATAATTAAAGAATGATATTGAATACTTGTATGCTCATACTGACGATATGTATTTGGATTCACATTTTTCTCATCATAACAAACATTTTTGGACTTTTTTGAAGATCTTAATTGCATTTCAAAAACGCGATTATCACCTGTAAAAGAAATTGTAAATAATAAAGAAATAAAGCAAGTCTAAGGTATTAAATCAAGAGTCATATTGTTCTCATTCTCCATCATATAGAAACTCTGGTGATTGAAGAACCTTCGGTATCTGATATGGTAGACATAGAACACTGTTTACTGTTACTCAAAATTATCTTTCTAAGTTTTCTTCTTTCTTTAACATCAGTAGAATCCATGTTATAGTTGAAATCTATAAAAAAACATGAAACAATCATGAAACAGTATACGTGATAACCTGGATTTAAGGCAACATTGGTTGAGGTAACCCTTATGTGATTATATGTGATAACATGCATTTTCATTTAAGTAAGTGCATGGATCGTATATATATATATATATATATATATATATATATATATATATATATATGTGTGTGTGTGTGTGGATGAGTTACTGTGCATACATATATATATATATACATATATATATATATGCGTGTGTGTGTGTGGA